AAAAAATGTAACTGTAGTTTTATAGGTTTTACAGTTTTTCCTGCAGATAAAGACCCCCTCACAGCCATTCAAGTACTTAACAAGTAGTTATATGACAGAAAGGTTCCTGTTTTTCATCGTCTTCTGTAGAAATTTCAGTTAAGTTAACAAAAATTCCATGTTTTATGAATACAGGAAAGTATAGGTGGTGAACTACCAGAATTTCCTCTGTAATTTACACATTTATCATGTAGAAAGACTGAGATGTGCTGTTGAAATTGCAAGTTTTTATGTTATATTAGGCTCCCACTCCCACGTGACTTAAAACCAATAGAAAAATACTTGGACTTTTCTTTGTCCATTCAACGTTGCCAGGTTGCCCCTCACACTGACCAGGAGCTCAGTGATACCCTGGTCCAAATCTGGGAAGTGATCCCCCAGGATATAAACCATCATCCAGTTATGAGCATGCCCTGATGTTGTCAAGCAAGCATGTTGGCCACGCCCACACAAGCTACTAATTGCCGTTTTGAGTTGCTGTAATTCAATTTAAGGAAAATGTAAATATAGCGCTTTTCTACTCTTCTGAGCACTCAAAGCGCTTTATACAACTTGTGCATTCACCCACGCACACTTTTTAAGTGCTTTCTGACTAACATTCACACATTCATATTCCAATGGATGCATCGGAGAACAATTTGGGGTTAGTATCTTGCCCAATATTTGGCATGCAGACTAGGGGAAGCCAGGAATCGAACCACCAACCTTCCGATCGGTAGATGACCTGCTCTACCGCCTGAGATTTAGCCCTCTGTAGGTACCCAGTCATAGCAGTAAAGAATGTGTGTTTTCAAAGTGTTCCTAATTTTTTCAGCAGTGCAGAATAGCTTACATGTTGGTGTGTCTCTGTCTCCAGGTGCTGCAGTGACGAGCTCCCCTGAATGTCTGATATCTGCTGCTGTGTTTCTTCTAACAGCTCTACACTGGCTGTGATTCACAGCAAAGGGTTTTTCTCTTTAGGATCTATCATGTTAAACAGGTGATATTTTAGGCTATTTACAGCATTTTCGATACAGAAACATAGATGAATGACATTCCCACATCTTTGCATACGTAACAGCCTAAAGGAAACAACTACTGTGCTTTATTGCTTTTCCAATTTTCATACAAGACTTACAGCTACAATAATCTGTCTGTTTCAGCCACCTGACATAGACTCATCCACCCATCCATGTTCTGCTGTTGGTGCCAGGGTCTGGTTTTGGTAATGGACTACTCCAGAGGAGTGATTATACCTCATGCTGAAAATACTTTGTGCCATGGAGACACTTCTACTATCCATAATTCAAACTTACAAGTTTAATTCTTTTGCATGTTTCACCCTACCTTTGCATCATTATAATCTCCTCCTGGCTGTCTCTTCAGCAGTAAGTAGAGAAAAAGAAGGGCAATCACAGGGCAAACCACTGTGGCGCACTGAGGGTGCAGACCGCCGTGTAACTAGCAATTTTTAAATGTTAGTACTCTTTGTAATTTATTTTTCTTGACTTACTTGTTTTGTACTTCATTTGGTAGTGAAAGGTGTTCAGAGTTGGTTGGTTGGTGCTGGTGTGGGTTTCATAGAGTCTTGCTGTGTGCCAACAATCTTTTTTTATACTTTAGTCTTATTATTTATTCTTTTAGTCTATTGAAAGACAGTTAAAAGGAAATTATATTTCTAGTAAAATGTTTTCCAGAAATTTATTTTAAAACTCAGAAGAAGTTCCAGACAGTGTTAAAGTGGGATTGCCAGGTGGGAAATGACTCATTCAACATTTAGTCAAAAAATAATGTGTACTGTGAATTACAGTTGTCTTTCTGGACAGGCTGAGAACTGTGCTCTAGCTACATTTAGCTAAGAAGATGTAACAAGGGCTATTGGGGCTGCTTTCCAACCCCCAGCCTGCATGACACCAGTAAAAAAAATACAGAATAACAGTAATATCGAATACATTAGCTTCCCTTTAAACGGACGACTGAAACCTTTGAAAGCAACTGTGAGCATCTGCTTTGTATCAGTCCAACATCCATCACTGTGAACTTTAATTTGCTGAAAGACACTTGACAACAAATTAAACGAACAAATCAATAAACATAAACATCGATTATGAACCTCAAATGTTCTGGAAATAAACATTTATAAAACACATCTACAGTCATTTGTCCCTTTTTTAATACCAATCCTTGTTATAAAACAAACACAAGCATATCAGTGGATAGTTTGACACAGAAATATAGCAAAGGTTAATCTCACACATACACTGTATGTTTTTCCTATTGAACAAAACATGATTCAAGTATATCCCGTATGTGTGGTATACATTCTGGGGACATGCATTTCTGTGCCAGCCACCAAGCCAGTGTTTAGCTTAGCTAACTGTACGGTGCACCAGTTAGCACTAAAAACTGAAAGAAAGCTTAAAAAGATTTCTAAACTTCAGTTAGCATGTGTAGAAAATACAAGCAACACAGTTCCCCACATAATAGCTCATAGTACAACTGTACAAATTCTCTCTTCATACCTGAGAAGAGGATAAATGAGTGAAAATGGTGGGATAGCTTTCCTTTCAACATCTTCAGTATGGTGGCAAGAGCTCCCCCTAAAGACCTCTACAGGCATAACTAATCAATCACAAACACCATTTCTCAAAATAGGCAAAAGTAGTGCCAGGTTGTATCCCAGCAAACAAGGAAATTTTCCCCAAACATTCAATGTACCACTGGAGGTGACAATCTGCAGCCCTGGAATGTCAGGGAAATTCATTTTTAGTAAAAATAACAGTTCAGAGGATGTTCTGCGACCTTCAGTTTAACTTTATGCCATCCTCAGTGGAGGCTGCTCCCCTTTTCCCTCTCACAGCAGTGAGTGTCACTGTCACTGCTCCTATGGGAAGTTTTAACTGGGAGTACTACAAGTTTACCAAGACTACTATTAGACACTCACACCTTAAAACATGGTTTCATAAGTCTCTGAATGCTGTACAAGCAGTTTCCAATGTCTTATCAACAATTTCTTAGCTTTATTTACCTACCCTCTATTGCAGTGGCAACAGACATGGCTTCCCAGCAGAAGCAACTTGTCAACAGTGATCCCATCCCATCCTCACTGTCCACTCCTATACGTCTAATTATTAATAATATCACAAAGCATTTGAGATTGATAATAGAAATTATTAAAAGTGACTGTCTCTATGTGCTATCTCTGTGACAGACTTGTGACCTGTCCCCACCTCTCGTCCTATGTTACCTGGGATAGGCTCCAAATCCAACCCTCCCTCAACCCTGAGAAATCTAAAAGTCAAGTTTAAGAGAATCAACGTGTAGATATTTTCTTTTCTTTGAAGATTTGTATATTTTAGAGAACTGAATAATATTATTAATCATGATAATTGCTGCAGAGGTAAATAGATGTTTTTATTACTCTTACAGGAGACAATTCTTACAGAACTAAAAGTTTTGTTTGAGTGGAAATTGGAGTTAAAGGAATTAAACATAAACATAAAATCCTGAAGTATGAAAATCTACACAAATAAACAAACAAACACACATGCGCGTTTGTGAAGCCACCGTGTGTCCACCAGATGTCGCCAGAGGTCGGGTTATGTGTTGCACACCGTCGGGGATTTTTGTTTTTTTCAGCATTGCCATGCGACAGACTTCCAAGTGCCAACATCATCCCTGCATCTACTGCGCCTGCGCACGACGATCCCATTCTTGTCCTGCAGGCAGCATTCCGGGTGGAGAGAGTGAGAGAAAGAGAGGCGGACATAGGAGAGATTTAAGGCCGAAGTGAGGATATTTACCCGGCGAGACGCGGGCTGGCTGTGAGGACGAGCTGCGGAGGTTATGGTGAGTAGAAGAAAGGGTGATGAAGCTGCTCCGCTTCGCCTCCTGCTCAGGTTTTCTCTTCTTTGTGCCGCCCCGGCTGTGGACTGACGTTTCATTGAAAGGTTGCTAGGAGGGCTAGCTGCAGCTTTTATTCCTATACACACCCCTGTCTGGCTCTCAGACCGAGGCCGGCCTGCTGTTTTATGGGGGAAAAGAAGGAAAAAGAGGTTCACGGTCAGCTGGGGCGGAGGAACACGGGCTCGGGGAAGGGGCGGGGGAGCGGGCTTTGGCTGGGAGCTGTCAGGGCTGCAAGGCTAGCAGGGGCTCAGCTAACGTTTGCACAAAAGCAAAGCGGTGTGTGTGTGTGTGTGTGAGAAATGAGTGGCCTGTTAAAAGTGGTGAAAATAGTCATGTTAGCGTTGAAACAGTAAACAGGTGCGAAGACAGACGAATGAGCTTGTTCTATTGAATGGATGGATTACAGTCCCCACCTGACCCCCTCACTGTCAGCAGTTTTTATAAAAAATAACTTTGGTGTATTTGTATAATTCTACCCTAATACTGTGACAAATCTATCCAAATTAAAAGGCTTTTAATTATTTTCCCAGCATTTCTGAGCCCCCATAATTTCATAGGTACAGGAGATACTCAGATTAAACATTTGTACCTCCTTCAAGTGTCAAAATCAAATTTTTTCATCAGCATGATTCCTTCTGATTCCTTCAGCGGGATCTCTGTGATATCCAGGAACAGTAACGAACATTGGTAACCTGGATGTTTGATCTGTTTACAGATAGTTCAGTGGAGGAAATTCCCCCAAAAAGTGTGAGCTGGGTGTCTTACAATCACCAAGTAAAACTAGGCGTTTTCTTCATACTGCCCATTATTTTGAGCAGCACTAGAAATGTTCTAATTTAAAAACTTGACATAACGATGATGAGTTAGATTTTAATCTCACTTATAAAAACAAATATTAAGGAAAAATATTCTTTTGCTTTCATTTTCACTCTGAAGCTCTTGTTTTTTCTTGTGTTGTAACTCAAGCGTACCTTTTTCTTTTACAGCGGTGCATTTTGGCCCTTCCCTGAAAGCTCAAACTCACTCGCTGTTTAGTTCTGCTCGAGCTAAGATGAAGCTGAGAGCCACTTTCTTTAGCTGAACCTGTAGATTGACTGTCTGCAGCTGCCTTTGTCTCTCAGGCCTCGGTTATGGCTAATGTGTTGGTCATCGCTCAGCTGAACTGTGATGCCGATGCAGCCCCTCATTTATACTTGTGCTTGAGGCACACTCAACACACTGCTGTCTGCTGCTTAAAGCTAGTCTGCTGCAGTAGTTGGCAAATTGATTTAACACATTATTTACGTTTTAATACCACAGCGATGTTACAGTGCCACCTGTCAAAATCTGCAGCTCACCTGTGTGTGTGTGTGTGACGTAATGTTGTAAATAGACAAGGGTGAAAGTGAGCAGATGACAGCCGTGCTAACCTACACGTTTCAGTACTCGAATGCAGGAAGGAAAACTGGTTGTAAATCAGCAGGGTCAAATGTCGTATAGCCACGTGACCAGAGCGATGAGTAACGGTGTCCTTCACTGGCAGTGAGGTCACTAACCTGCAGGAAAAGAAGGGCTTTTGTGTCAGCTTATCACTTCCCAGTGTGGTCAAATTGAGTGCTCACAGCAGGCCAGGATGACCCTCAGGTCAAGTGATCATCTGAAACTGCCTGCAGCACACAGGCAGAGGGGAGCGTTTGGAAATGATGGCGTTCGAGTATCTTTTTTTAATCCATGCTTTGTGGAAAAAACAGACCATGGACTCAAACTGACAGGCCAATTTTAGCTGGTAGCGCTGAGCTGCACACACACATACATACACTTACACACAGCCTGATTGTCTCATCCTGTCATTTGTTTTAGCTATTTTAACTTCACTTTAAAAGCCGTGAAACAGGCAGACAACCTGCTCTGTGTCCTCACACTGTTTACCGCTGGTCCAATAAACAGAAAGTACTCAACATATTTACGGCACCGTGACGGTCATAGTCCAGCGAGTCTGGCTCGTATCTCTCTTCCTGAGGACACGCAGGTTAAATTTTCACCTGATAGAGGCTATGCAGGAATTCCTTCAAGTTTTATAAAGAGAAGGAATGGTGTGATAGAGCCGATTGGGAGTGCAGCTCCTGTGTTTGTGTTTTAATGATGGGGGCAGATGTGTGGTTGAGAGCAGATTTTCAGCTATCATGTTATTTTGTTTTTTTGTTTTTAACTCTCTGGAGTCCGATCCATTTCTTTCCTTGTATTCACCCATATCTCATACATAAAGATGTGTATAAATTCAGTAGATAGATATATAGATATAGATGTATATTGCTTCAAGATCAAGATATCCAAAGAATGTCTAAGATGGATTTTGAATTTTTCACCAATTTATTCATAAATATGTTAAAAGGTTTATTGCTTTATTTTTTTACCCCAGCGCGTGTATGGAGGTTTAAAAACACTACAGAGGATGGGCATTTGAAGTAAAAATACTGTTTGGCATTCACTGGGAAGTATTTGGTTGTTACCACCCGGCTCTTGAGGCATAGCATAAAATGGAGGGTGATGGCAAAATTTAAAAAAAAAAAGTGGAAGTAATGTCCCTGTAAAGCCAAGCTAGGAGTATATTCATGGCAGAGAAACACTGCTGGCTGCATGAAGCCGGAACCTTTACTTTGAAACCAGCTAAGCCCCAAGATATGATCCTTCACATGGGAATCCATCCACTGGCTGTTAGAGGCAGCAAGCTACAAGGGGAAGGTCATCATCTTAATAATCTGGTCATATTTTGGAAAAGCTAAACATTATGTGCTTACAGTGTTTTGTTTTTTTGCAGTGGGAGATGTGTTTCTTTTTTTGTTGTTGGACAAATATGTAAATAAATGTGATCAATAATGGCCTGAAATAACCTTCCTTCGTTCTGTGTTTCCTTGCTCTTGCAGGGCAGCCCCGTTCAGTTTTGGGGACAGGTCATGGAGCTCTAAGCTAGCACTCTCCATCCATCTCCATCTGCTGCCAGAAGCGCCTCTTCCAGCCTGCTGCTGTGGTTTGGCTCCGACTCCTCTAAGAGAAGAAGAGGGAGGAGTAAACTTCCCCCAGCTGCTGTGCAGACACACACATGCTGCATTGCTGCCATTCCCCAAGCCCTACTCCATCTATCCCGGGGGCACAGCCATTAACTTGCTAGCAGGCTAGCACTTGGCACAGAAAGAAGGCCTGCCCTGAGGGACCAAACACAAGCAGACTGTACTGTGGCCTCCTCCTTTTGTCCTCACTTTTCAGGCCATACCCACCAAGTGGAACTCCTTTTGTCCAGCTGTCACTCCCGCTGCTCTGAGCAGTGGAGGATTGCTAGCGATCAGTCAATCATACAGCCGGGCAGACTGAGGAAGCCAGAGGGCGTGTTTACCAGACAGCAGAATGATGGAGCCTAGCATGGAAAGCTGTCTGGCCCTGGTCCTGCAGAAGGACATGGGCCGAAGGCTGCAGGTTGGCCAGGAGATCATTGATTACATTCTGGACAAGGAAAAGTCCCATGACTTGGAGCAGGACCAGACAGCGCTGGACAAGATGGTTGATGGCATCGCCAGCTCCTGGGTCAACTCCAGCAACTTCAAGGTAAACTAGACTGATGTTTCAGGATGTGTCTGATGTGTCCTCCACACACCCCTCAGAGGATCAAGTAGCTTTATAATTCCTCACAGGTGGCGTAGTTTATTGGTGTAGTAGTGGTTAGTGTTACGGCCCTAGCAAGAAGCCTGTCTGCTTGTTCTTCATGCATGTCTGTAGATTTTCTTGCTGGGTTTCCTGCTTCTGTCTGAAGATACTTATGTGTAGATAATGGGAGATTCTCAGTTGGCTGTAGGTGTGGATATAAGTGCAAGAGGCCTTCGTTTTTTCTTTTTTAGCCCAAGATGGGTAATCTGTGAAGAATGTGGATAGATGGATGGAATGAATTGATTCCCATTCGTTTTATGTTTCAAGACCTTTTCACACTTAAAAGTCCAACCAGAATATAGGGTAATATATTTGTTTTTAATTCCTCTAAATCATTCTCATCTTTGTTGTTTATTTCACTTTAAATAGGAGCAGAAATTCTAAAAATGAGCTCCATGTTTTATTCAGTAAGTCATGAAACCAAGAAGAGAGACCATGAACTCTCCAGCCAAGTGTTTACTGAGCTCAGAGATCAGGTGTGCAGAAGATGAGAAGTTTCCTCATATATTTCAATACAATAAGAATTTTATTTTCATTTCCACCCCCTGCTGGTCATTAGAAAGAGAGAAGATTTGGTTTAGCAAAAGCTACATCCGTCTTTAATAAGCAGTCTGTGGGATTAAAGTGAAAAGTGTGAGGACCTGTGAACGTGCCTGCAGACAGACGTTTATCACAGCACTCATGTTTCTCTGCAAAAGAGCTTTTTTTCCCACAATTAACAGCCCATTTTCCACCCACTCAAACGCTCCTCTTCGAGCCTGTTGTATTTAACAGCGTGCTCAAGGTGTTTTTATTAGGAAATGTCTGCCATAGCTCACAATCAAAGCTGCTCATGTTTGAGTTGAAGCGACTTTATGATTTTATGTAAAAGGCTGAGTCATGTAGGGGCGAATTATAACAGTTTACCTTCCGTGAATAACAGATTCAAATCAAAACTATTCCTTTTGTGTAGGAGGTGCACTTCCTTGTTATTGTGAACTCATAGAATCAGCTTTTGTAGTTTGTTTGAGCAGGAATTTTCAGTATTCATCACTGCAGCGCTGCAAGGCAAACTGTTCCTCAGACTAACATTATTGTTTCCCTTGCCCTGTAGTTGGATGGCATTCTTCTCTGATTGATTGGACTTTATTCTGGGAGTTCAATCCAGGGCACAGTTTTATCTGACCTGAAAAGCGATTCCATCAGCAGTTCATTCCGTGCCCAAACACTCATTGCTTTTCTCTGCCGTGGCTGTAAGAAGACATTGTTTACCAAAGCTCGGGTTTCATGTTGCGATATGCTGCTTAGGCTCTCTGCAGGCCTGAAAATGTCAGAGATATGTGCCTGAACAAAGCCAAGCCTGCCCTCGATGCCCTACATACTGCAGCTCTGCGAGGATGGGGAAGGACTTCACTTGTATTGCTTTTTCTGAAGTCTCATTGGTCCAGCGGAGCCTGATGGTGGTTTTTGTGTGCTTCAAATGACCACATCTGGCACTGCGATGGTTGTGCTGGGAGATGTCTGGTGCATGCCTGAGAGAAAGAGTTTGCAGTTTGGGGTTAGGAGTGTTTAATTCGCTGGTTGTAACTCAGATGGAGGGGCAGATATGAGGAGGCTGCTGCCAAACTACTTTTTTAAATTTTTTTTGTCCTGTCATGGGTCCAATTTCAGTGTTTCTCATTGCATACTCTGTACTTGAGCAAGCTGCACATGAATTGTGTGATTTGTTTTCATTTTGTCATTAAGATTTTACTATTATTTGCACTTGGTTCAAGTTGCTTTTATTGAAAGATGTGCTGAAGGGCAAAATAAGACTCACAAAACCAAAAGTCAGCACAGTAATGGTTTTTATCTCAATTATCTTGTTTTAATAATTACAGACACCCAAAATTCTAACTGAAGTTAAAAGCTGGTTAATTGCACAGCCCTGATTGAGTGTCTCACACTGACTTTTGGTCCATGTTGGGCTGCAGTTGGTGATGGTGGTGCTAGTTCTATTCTGGAAATCCTCTGTTAGCTGGAGGATAACTCTATCCAGAGACTGCAGCAGGTGGAGAACCAGGACTACCAGCTGCAGAGCAACATGGAGGAGATGGAGTTTGTTTGAGGGAGGCGTAGCTCTGTTATTTATTGTCACAAAGCATATAGAGTAGATGTGCTGTGGCCACATTCAGAATCGAATTCTGCAGTAAACACTGTGAAACTCCTCAAGAGGCACATAACTTTGCCTGAGAAGTGCATTATGGATAACAGTTAGGTGCTGACTTCCAACTGAACTGCACACAGCTCAGGTAGCTGCCTCACATTTAGCAGAGGGAAATGGTTTTCTTGTGTTAACCAGCCACGTTAACTGCCGATACATCATATCCCCTGCAGGGGAATAGAAGCTGTATATTAACTTCAAAGTGAAGTGTCATTCAGCTACACCCTCTCTGCTAATCGCCTGTCCCGTCTTTGATGATGTCAGCTGGTGGGTTTTCACTTCAGACACAAACAAAAGCCGACGACTTTTCTGTCCAGTCTCGTTTCTATGCGTTTGTTTGTGTCTTTGTAAAACTGTGATTTAGTTTCAACTAAAGGCTGAAAGCCTGAAGCATCTTCAACACAAAACACCCACCTGTGTTTGCTTTGTGCTGAGAAAGAACTAATAGGAGCTTGTATACGAGGACATAAAGGCAGATCCTGCTCTCAGAGACTGAAAAAACACAAGCTTAGACACATTTCACCAACACTTAAAGCTAAGCTGATTGAAACCCCAGAGCAGGGGAGGCATGTGATGGTGCAGACACAACATAAATGGCTGTATCTGTGGATCATCTAAACCACAAGGGAATTTACTTTGGGGGAAAAGGAACAAAGTAAATTTTCTGCTTGTTTTTTGTACTTACACAAACTTGAGAAATGGCAAGAATGAGAAAAACGTAAAAAATGTCATTGGTGCATCACTGCCGGCCTGTAAGACAAAGCTGCACAAGAGCTGATCCTGCAAACGTGTCTCCTGCACGGTTGAGCAGCATCACAGGTGACACCAGGCTGTCGTAGCGATGACTTCGAGCCTCATCAACCCAGAAACCGTCACTGCCGTCAGCTTCAGTCCCACTCCCACCTCTGCATGGCAGAACGGAGAGCGAGGCAGAGGAACGGAGGCATGATGGACGGTTACAAACAGGACACCAGCTCGTCTCCTTGAAGCAGGAAGTGTGAAAAAGGGATGGTGGGTGGAGGCTGTAGCGCAAATCCCATCCTTGTTTATGGTTTGTTTTCCCCACAGTTTTATGTTTCTGCTTGTGGCACAAAATCCATCAACAGTAAAAGTGCAGAACATTCATCCTAATGCACAACCTAGACAGGCGCTCCTTGAATTCATAAATTACATTAATTTGCCTCTTTTTTTTAATTATAATTTACTAATTTGGTTTTCATCGGAATACTATTCAAAAATGATTGCAGTTCCCTAAAAAAATATCTTTGAAGCATGATAGCTGCCTGAAGTTTTCCAAAAATCATGGTTTTTGTTTATATTTTTGTTTTTGATATTGTTTTTGTTTTGTTTTGCTTTGTTTTTGTTTTTTAAGAGCTAGGTGCACTTCCTTTATCACACAAAGCAGTGGAAATGAAAACAAACACACCATAAATGTGAAAGAAATAAACTGACGTGCTGATTGATCACAGGGGAACTCTGAGGATTAGTCTGAATCTTCAGGTGACTGTGACACAGCCACCACATTAAGCATGAATCTATCCGGAGCATGAGGACAATCTCCTCGGTCCGGCCTCCTTGTGATGTCATATCTCTGCCTCCACGCTTCTGTTGAGATGATTCAGCAGCTGAAAGCCCAGCTGGAAGGATCCTGTTGACCTGGCACACCCGGACACAAAGAAAAGACACACACACACGCGCACAAGTAGGATATTTTCTTCAGAAGGTGTCTGTCATCTGCCAGTGTGACTGTTCTTGTTTGAAATTGCAAGTGCATGAATCACAAAGTCACTCAAAGAGTCAGAAAGACCTGATGTTCATGCATCCTGCACATCACAGTCTGTTATATCCAGAAACAAGAATATACTGGATATGCTGTCAGATAAGATAAGATAAATACTGTACAGGCTGAAAGTCCCCCCGTAAGATTAGGATAAGGAGCACACACTAGTCCTCTGTCTGTGAACTTGTTCGAGTCTTTTGTTTGGTTTGAAAAACAGAGCAGAGTTGCTTTAGAAACAGTTTCATTTTGCTCTAAGAATATTTGTTGAGCCGCCTCGAGCTGTATGCTGTTGGTGACTTTAGCACAGACAGAGAGAGACACTGAACTATAACTCTCTGGGAGAATTCAGCTGCAGCAAAGATGATGGAAAAAGGGAAACTTGCAGGACCAAAAAAGCTGTTTAAAATCTTGTGTTTTGTGCAAATACAGGAAACTTTTAAAGAAGATATTCTTCGATTTGCCTGATGATTCTGAGCATGCATCGAGCCTTAAGTTACTTTTTGCTAAATATGTGCGGTATATTGGAATTAAGGCATTTTAAAGTTCCTGAATTTCAGACTCCTGCACCTTGAAACCAGGGAAAACCAGCTTTGGCCCAGCTAGACCTTTAATCATAATGTTGATGATCACGCAAGCTGAAAATTCAGCACTTCCTTTGTGTTTCCAGTAATGCATTTTGGTCTTCTGATGATTTACCTGTTTGTCTGAAGAGTCTCTTTCAACACTTTTGCTTTTCAAATTAAGGCGCTTCCAAATAACGATGAGCCATAATAAGAATTCAGGCTCAAAATTAGGTCTGAAAATGAAGAATAATTATAACTAAACTGCAAAACTTGAGAGATAAGTTGATGTAAAAATCTGTTCAAAGGACTGTATCCTGCCGAGATGTGATTCAGCCTCAACGTGCATCTTATCCTGACAGTTAATCCGGCAGAAGTC